TCAGTACTTAAGTATTTTGATGATATATGCATCATCGCTAACTAATTAGCTGGTTTTTTGTGAACTCTTAAGGGAACATTAATAAATTATGAAGATTTTAGAAAATTTTCCTCACTCATGGAAGTATTTAAAGAAAAATTTGTGCCATAATGGGATTGTCCATACTTTAGATGATCTAAGAAGACATTTAAGGATGGAATAAAATGATAGAGTTAGGGAGAAAAATAAAATGGTTAGAAACCAAGCCTATCTAGTAATGATCAATAATCTTAAAAGAAATTTAAGAAGCCTCCTTAATAACAAACTTCTTTGAAATTTAAGAAATATTATAATTGTAATAAATATGGACATAATATTACAAGGAACCCAAGAAGAAGGATGTTGGACAAGCAATGACACTAAGGATTTTACCTTTGTGGTTGAATAATCATTGATGATGAATTTCTCCAATGAGTGGTGGGTGGACTTGGGAGCTACTCGATACATTTGCAATACCAAAAACAATATAGTAGACTTCAAAAAAAGGAGTGGTAGTGCTTGAAAACTTTACATGGGCAACTTGTCTACCATCCACATTCTTGGAGAGGGTACCGTTAGATGTCACTTCCAACCGATGGCATTTTGACTCTTATTGATATATTGTATGTCCCAAATATGGGGAGGAACTTAGTTCCTCCCCCTAGGATTTATATGAGTGGAGGTGATGTCTATGTAAAAGATGGGAAAATGATTGTTAAGAAAATGATGCTTTTGTTGTAAAAGCTACTATGGTTGGCAATATGTACAAGCTTAAACTTGATAATAAAATGAAAATGCCATTTGCTTATGATGAGTGTTTCAATGTTTGGTACATAAAGCTTGGTCACATTGGTTATGAAAAAGATTAATGAAAAATTAATCCTTTATTTAGAAAAGAAAAAATTCAAATGCGAAAGTCCCTTAAAAAGAAAAATACATATAAAATCATTTCCTTAGGGTAATCATTGGTCATTAGTCATGACATAGATGGGTTGACCAATGATTAAGACTCTTAAGGCATATTGGGGCCATCATATGGTGAGTCTTAGACATATCATACTCCTTATATCATAACAGGACCATATCTTTGCAAATATCTTCAAGAATCATATCCATTGGGTTTGCTTAGTGATCCCTTGCCTTCCAAGGTATCAATCTAGCATCCATTCAATACTTATCTCATGGTCATTCCTTCAAGCTCATCTATGCATCTCTCAAAAATATAATTAGTCCTGTATCATGACTAAAAATACACCCAACAAAACCGCCATGAGTGCAACATGTGTGGTATAATCCCAAAAGGGTGGGGCGTTCGGTCATTTGGGTGACCTCTCCGACTTCATTATCTCTTCTTTATGACTATCATTTCATGCATGCATGCTTCAATATCTTCAGAACTTCCCTTCATCCCCGGAGTCTCGATTTATCAACTCTCATTATACTATCTCGTTTTCCAATGGAATTATCTCTTCGGATTCCCCTTGGTGCTTTATACTGCAATCAAACTCACCCTACACATGAGTTTTATCATGGAAAACAAAAATAGGATCAACCCTTCTGCTGTTTTATTTTTCATTTTGGAATTTGGAATTCATCACAAGTTGATTTGAGATATGTTAGCAAATTTTCATATCCTTTAAATATAGTTTAGGGGGTTTGCCAACAATGTAGAAAATCAATCCAATGCAGATTTGGCAGCCGGATTAACTAAGAACTTGTAGAACTATCACATAAGCAGTTCAATGGATGCGATCGGTTGGTTTCACATATTCTCTTGCAACTGGCACATGCAAATAGGGGTGACAATGGACCCGGACCTGACCCAGGACCCGAGGGTAAACCCGATTTGGGTTTGGGTATAGGTCCAAAAATTGGACCTGGAGGGTTGGGTTCGGTAATATTTTTCGGGCCCCATATATGAAATATCTTTAAATATAATTAAATACATAGATATTTTAACTTTTGGGTTGGGTCTGGTCCCACACTATATTTTCGGGTCTCGGTCCTGTCCGGGTTCCGACCAGAGCAGGAACTCACCCATTGCCACTCTTAAATGCAAACTTCTTTCTATGTTTCAACCGATATTTGACCCTTTTTTTTTTTTTTCATGCCTTTCATTTTTAATGGTTTGAATGTTTATATTGCTGAAATTTGTATCCGAAATTCCAGGATTTCTACCAAAAATCATGACTCTAGATGGTTGAAAAGAAACTCTATGTTTCCTTTTCTTGAAATGGCTTTCAAGCCAACTTCGTCAAAACTTTTGCCTTTGTATCAATTTTTCTATTTTATTGCAATTATTGTTCTTTATCCAAAGATTTTGCCTACGGACACGAAATGATCAAAAGGAAACCTATCTTATTTTTCTTTTTCCAAGGAAAAACAAAACTATAAAATGCCCAAATTCTTTCCATTGTTTTGTTAGTTTTACTATATTATTACATCTACCTTTCTTATTTCATTGAACTTTCCGGGAAATCGTGGTAAAAAATGGACAATAGGAAATCCAATCTAGTTTTTTTTATTCACCTAAAAAAAATCTAGCTTTTTCTTTCGAAGATTTTTCTTTCGTACATAGAACGAATTTCAGCAGTATTTTCTTTAAACTCCTTTCTTTTTCTTGCCATTGATCTGCTAGGTTAAATTCTAGTATTTGAAAAACCGTCTATCCAAAACGGAAATCATTGATCCAAATTGGGAATAAGTCCAAACTAGATCTGACCGCGTAGTTTCATCCCAAAGGCCAGCCTTATTGAATATCAATCCTTTTTGAAAAAATAACAGGAATATTACTAACTATTATATTTGCGGAGATCGGGTATGGCGTTCTTCTGCTAATTTCTGACGAATGAAATAGTAACTCACTTCAACTAACCTAATTGACATTAGGGAGATGCTGATGGCTTGTGGGAAAGTGCTCATATAAAACACGAATGCTACTATTGTGGATCACAATTTCTTGATAAATATGTGTAAACTCAACTCAACTCGATTCGACCGATTTATTTGGACTTGTTCGAATAACTCGGCTCGCCTGAGTACCTCAGTAGAGTCGATTTTTTAAACTCTGCATACAACTAAATACAGAGGGGATATATGGCTGCATTTATCCTGGGAGATCTTGTAGTAAGTATTTCAGTGATATCTTTACTGCATCAATGGCAAACTATTGTCTATAAAGCCTTTCAATAGATTGGTATGTTTTCTCCATCCCCATCCCCTTTTTTTCCACTGATTTTCCTATATAACGGACTGCAACTGTTGTGCAATAGTGACCGACCCAATACTCATTTTCGTTTTTCTCGATAACTGGATAGTGAGTGATGCTTTACTCGTATTTAGGAGTGATTTGCAATTGATAATATTAAATATTACAGTCTCCAGTTCCGTTCCGAACTATCCCAAGAAGAGAAAGTTATACGTTATGTTATTCCCTAGAATCAGATGGTTGGAAAAAGTCTCAGCAAATTGTTCCAAATTCAAAGTCTAGCATGAACCCCTAGACTATTTTCTATGTATTCAAAGTAAATTGACAGAAGGATGTAATTTCTAGAAGGCCTGAGTCTTATATATAAAAATAGAGCCAAAATTTGAAATCTTGTTTGGAAAGTACTTTTGGGTACGAGAAATCTCTAAGATAGCTTTAAAATCTACTTTCATCGCCGATTATGAAATTTGTAGCTCAAAAATAAGACTTGAGGACATGAACACTTAGAAGTGAACGGTCTCGATGATGTGTTACAATACGCACTATTTTCAAGGCTTGAAATGATAAATTTTTTCACCTTGATAATGATCAAGGTCGAGATGATCGATTTGAAGGTTTTTTTATACTGGAACAATAATTTTAAGATGATGGTTTCTTTTCTCGTGGCCTTATTTTAACATTTTCTATTTATTTTACTTATACTTTGCATAAGTGTAAAAATATTTCTAGAGAAATATTTTAATATGGAAAAACCCACATGTGATTAGGTGTGTTATTTTAGAGAAATTTACTTACATAATAAATCACGTTTGTCTCAAATTACGGGCGGTACCCCCTTGCAGTGTTTTTTTTCTCAAAATTGCCTCTGTTCGATAATGTGAACACTTCCATGTTTGAAAATACTGGATATCTATTTACTATCCTCAAGCCAGCAAGCCCTCTATCCGATAATACGAACACTTCGATGTTTGAAAATACTAGATCTATTTACTATCCTCAAACCAAGAAACTCTCTCTCTCTCTAAAAATCTCTCTCCCAAAATCATGAATATCTGTCTCAACTTCAATTGTTCTCTCTCGCGCTATCTCTCCCCCTAAACCATCTCTCTCCCGTAAACCATTTCTCTCCGCTAATCTTACATTATAAACGAAATCAACCGAAAATTTTATGGAGGTTTAGGGGATGAGTTATCAACGAAATCAATTGTTGCATTTCTCTCTCTACCTCCTTTTCTCTCGAACTGCTCTCCCCGAGAGCCAGGCCATTGTTGTGTTTCTCTCTCTACCCTAAGAACTAAGCCATTGTTGCGTTTCTCTCTCTACATCATTTATTCTCTCTAAGTGCCATTTTTAAAAACTAAGACAGAATAGCCTATATTTGGTGTTTGTATTATTGGACAAGGGGCAACTACTTAAAGAGTTATTTTATAATTTGAACACCGAACTGCTACTTTTTCTTTAAATACAAAAAACCCATATGTCTGGTGTTTGATTTATAGAACAAGAGTAACTTAGAAAAAAAAACTCCGAGGGTGCTGCCCATAAATTAAAACAAACATGTTCTCAATTTGAAATTGTACCCCCACAATATTGCCCCTACATAAATTTCTCATTATTTTACTACAAAATGACTTAAATGCAACAAGATTAATGGGTGTAAAAATACTGCTAGACCTAATTAGGAATTTTTCACACACGAAATACTTCATAAAAGTACCAAACACGCCTTTAGTAGACAGACAGTCTGGATCCCGGGCCATGTCCTCTTTCAAAGTCGGCCCGTCCAATGAACCCCTTATCCTCTTTGTCTTTGCCCTCAAAACGTTTGCTCATCCTTCTCTCGCCCACCCGTGGGCTTCACTTCACTCTCAATTCACTGGGTATCTCTCTCTCTCTCTCTCTTCTCTCTTATCCTCTGAGAAAAACCAGTGTCCACTAATGGCCATCGCTTTTCTTTGATTTATTATTTATTAGCAGGAAAGGAGAATGGCTTCCGCTGCAACGTGCAGCTTCAATTTAGTAGGAGCTTTTAAGGGGCTATCGTTGCTTCCAAGCTCGTCTTCCTCTTGTTTTAGGGGAGATTTTCGAGTTCCCTCTGTTACAAATGGTTCCAGTTTATCTTTTACATTGAAATTTCCTTTGATAATTGAAGCAGCTCATAAGAAAGGAGCTGGGAGCACAAAAAATGGCCGAGATTCGCCGGGACAGAGGCTTGGGGTGAAAATCTATGGTGATCAGGTTGCGAAACCAGGGGCTATCATTGTGAGGCAGAGGGGAACCAAGGTTAGGGTTTCTTGAATTCAAAGGAACTTGATTGTGGGAATGAAATAAATTCTCTTCTTTCTCCTCCTCACTTGATTGTGGAAATGACATAAATTCTCTTCTTTCTCCTCCTCCAATTGTCCACTATCGCCGCATTGTCGTGAACATATAATAATCTCTCTCTCTCTC